CCGCCTCCCCCCAGCGGGGGAGCAGATGGACCTTTAAAGGTAACCTTGAATCCAACAACTGTCTCATGGGCAAGGACGTTGGAAAAAGGATAAAAATAATACAATGTAACCTCTAACGCAAAAAGGCGGCAACGGTAACACTATGTCTCCACCTTGATGTATTGGAGGAGGTAATAGCTTTGATCCAGGAGCCCTGGATAATAAAGATCAAAATTACTGGTATCAGTAGCCTAACTGGTGAAATTTTCAGCTTACGAAGCAATCAGCAACCTAGGACGGCTATCTACGTTCCTAGGAAATACAGAGCCTTTTCGATGGCACAATTCAGCATCTCAGACCTCACTGCGGTTAAAGTGGAATGTCCAGATGTAAAACGCAAATATACGGCGTTGATACTTGCATCGGTGTACCTCCCATCAGATGCAACCACCCTACCAACCAACCAAAGAAATGGAGGTACTAGTGGATCACTGCCTCAACCAGAAAGTGGAGCTTATATTGGGTTGCGACTCAAACTATCACCATTGGAGCTGGGGCAGCAAGGATATCAACGCCCAAGGTAAGTCCCTATATGAATATATAATTAAGAAAGATCTAACAATCTTGAACAGAGGCACGGAGCCGACATTTATTAACGCCAGTAGCCAAACATTAATAGATATCACGCTTACGACAGCCAAAATATCAAACAAATTCCAGGACTGGCAAGTCTCGGACCATATTTCTATGTCAGACCACCGCTGGCTGACCTATACGGTAAGCCGGGATCTCAGGACCACAGTTAAATCCCGTGACCCGAAGAGAACTGGAAAGGTACACTGTATCTATTCATAACAAAATAGACATTCCTGTCCGATGAGGACGGTTCAAACAGATGGAACGACGAACTGGACGGATGTACCAACAACACCCTCACAATACGACTGGCAATCTGCTAGTGCAGTAATTGATGACGATAAGATAAGATGGGCTATATCGGGCTTTTCCCCCTTCAAGTCACCAGGACCTGACGGTATAAGACCAGCCCTACTTCAATGGGGACTGGACATTCTTATGTCGCAATTGGTTGAAATATTCAGAGCCTCTCTAGCTCTGAGGTATATTCCCAGTAAGTGGAGGGAAGTAAGATTAGTATTTATACCCTAACCAGGTAGGATGGACTACACCCTACCAAAAGCATTCCGACCAATTAGTCTCACATCGTTTTTCTTAAACACTATGGAGAGGCTATGTGAGCGGTACATAAGAGATGAAGTACTAGTTCACAACCCACTTCATCCAAATCAGCATGTATATACTCCGGGAAGGTCTACTGATTCGGCCCTTCACCATGTGGTTGGCAGAATCGAGAGATCATTGGACAACAAAGCATTCACCCTGGGTATATTCATAGATATCGAGTGAGCGTTTGATAGAAAAACCTTTCCAACAATTACTCAGCAACTACACTCCAGGAATGTACCCCTGGTAGTAGGAGAATGGATACTCAAGATGCTCTCTAGTAGAACAATAAGTATTAATGTAGAAGACATCACAGTGAAAGGACTGGTCATGAGGGGATGTCCACAGGGAGGGGTCTTACCACCCCTTCTCTGGGACATAGTTCTGGATACCCTGATTAATCACCTCAAGAAAAATGGATTCTACACAATTGCATACGCAGATGACATAGTTATCTTGCAGCCCGGCAAATTTGTGAACATGGTGTAAGGAACACTCGCTGTCGATCAATCCCAAGAAGACTGAGATGGTCCTTTTCACCAGGAAGAGAAGTTTATCGGGCTTAAAACCTCCCAAAATCTTCAAACGCAAACTAAACTTTTCTGAAGAGGTGAAATACCTTGGTACTATCCTTGACAGGAAACTTACATGGAACTCTCACCTACAAAGTAGAGCAAAAAGAGCATATGTGGCTTATGAGCAATGTCGGAGGACAGTGGGACGCGCATTGGGTCTTTCACCCCGTGTGGTTACCTGGATTTACACTGCAATCATAAGACCTATGTTAACGTACAGAGCCATTGCATGGGGACCGAAAGTTCTACAAGCAACGGCCATCCAAAAATTATATCAGATACAGCGACTGGCTTGTTTAAACATCACAGGAGCCATGAGAACAACACCAACCGCGGCAATGGAATCAATTACGGGTCTGACACCTCTGGACCTGTACGTTAAGGAGGTTGTGTTAATGGCCATGGTACGATTGCGTACAGCTGGTGTAAACCTCGAAGTAGGAATGGGTCAATTGAGGCTGGGCCTATGGCAAGAAGCGCTTACTGCGCAACCTCTGCTGCAGGCAACTAGTGATGCAATTGAACCCAGGTTTGTGTTCAATAAACCCTACAAAATATAAATTGAACAGAACACAGAGTCAGATGCTACAAATACAATACGCATATATACAAACGGCTTAAAAACCAAAGAAGGCTCGTTAACGGAAAAAACAGATTTTAAACAGATTTTTTTTGCCAGGATCACCTTGGGCGACCCTGGGAAGCTAGCGCCCAAGAAATATCTGGCGATGACCAGGAAAAATCTACGCTTAACAGTAGGATTTCTGACTGGCCACTGTCAACTAAGGAAACACCTCCATAATATGTGGCTTGTGAACACACCTCTATGCAGGATGTGTGAACAGGAAGATGAGAGTGTCAAGCATGTCCTATGCGAATGTCCGGAGTTATCCGTCAGTAAGGCCTACACCTGCCGGACAACTCCTCGGGAGGATATACAATGGGTCACATTTGGCCTAAGTGCTGTGGGCTTACACTCACCCTCCTTACTCTACAGATCCAGAGAGATTAAGTGACAAAGAAGTGGAAGGGTTGCAAACTTATAACAAAAGCGTCACCTTGACGTTTTCGTGCGCGGTCAAAGTTATTTTGAAGTGTAGTATTTTAAAAAAGCTATATTTTGCATTTCTCAAGTCCCCGTGGAAGATCAATACCTCTGAATATCTGACGCAATTGAGTACATTTTAGTTATGCTGTATGGTATATGGTGACCTCTACCGTCCAAACCGACAGATTAATAATCTCTATCATCAGAGACACGCGGGACATATACTCTATCAATATTTGACGATTTCAGGCCCCCACCAGTGAAAAGGTATACATCATATAACATTTTTTATTTTCCCATCTAATCTGCAAAATTCAATGGGTCTCTACAACGTTCGAGTGAATCCCCATTTAGCATCTGATTCTCTCCTGTTATAAATAAACTCAGTTTTAATTACCACCACTTTGTCAATAGAAATTTATCTCATCTCATTTATCTCTAAAGTTAGTATTTTAGAATTAGTTTATGTCATTTTTTTGTTGACGCCAACTTGATTAGCGAAACGTGCGTCGAGAAAAGTGTTTCCACAGTTATATGAAAACTGTATTTTTCAACGTTTTGGTAATTATTACCTATATCCATTATTTTCGAAAGTCTGATTCAGTGAATCTTTGCTCATTTCCATTAGCCTGATAGCTTCATTAACATCAGCTTTTTCGACAATATTTGATAACCTCAGGCGAGCTAAAGCTGTTGAAAGTCGCAAAATTCCCAAGAGATTTCTAGCTGAAGTGAAAGTCATATCCCTGGAGTTACGAGCATCCTTTCTCAATTCCACGTAAGAAGCTGAAAGAAACTAAACTAAGCAAGTCAAGAACAAAAACATGGCCGAGTATTCTGAACTAAAAATGAAAAAGGTAGTTCAATATAGATAGAAGAAATGATTTATAATATTGCTCTACTTACAAACTATAAAATCTGTCAAGTCTTCGGGAATAGAAGGATCTTTCATCTTACACATGGCAATGTATTTCCTCATAATGCTCATATCCAAGGCTTCTGTCTGTGTTGGGGGCTGTTTGCTGTATTGATGGACATAAGTTATATGTTTAGCAAGTCTGAGATCATTGTCTCTATCAGCTTTATCTTGAATCAGCCAAAGTATATCAAAACGTGAAAGAAGAGCAGCTGGAAGTTGGATATTCTGTTCGATTGTTCTTTTGGGGTTATAGCGACCATAAGCAGGATTAGCGGCAGCGAGGATGGATACTCTGGCGTTGAGGCAAGTCATGATACCAGCCTGAAATATTATTGTCTCATATGTATAAATACAGGAAGTTCAACCGGAAACATAGATTCATTTTAAAAATTTGATTTTCAAAGTAGTTTCGAGTTGAGTTTTCTCTTCAAATTACAGTAGACCCATTGCAATCCGACACCTTTTTGCAATGGGGTGTCAAATTTTGGAAAAATAGTACCATGTAATCCGGGCGAGTTGGCCGTCCTGTTCATTTTCCACTGCCTGAGCCACTGTACCTGCTATTTCTGCGAGTGCATTGGCTTGGGATGTGGGGTTTTAGCAAACCGGCCATCGGATGTCTGCTTCCTCGTAGCCCCGCTGGATATGGGAATGACAGAATCACTTGTGGTTCTATTAGCGGCGTCAGCAGAATCTGTCTCAGGCGGGGAAACAAACCCCCTGTTGAGCGGGTTAGCAAACGTTTGCGCTCAAATGATTATTCACCGAAACCAGAGGCGAAAAAGCCCTGCATGGCTGAATCTAAGGCATCGTCAGGTATAGCTGACGTGCAAAAACCCTCATATGGGAAGGTTGTTGCTGATATCAAGGTGGGAATCTTACACCTTGATTATCTGACTACCTCATTAACGGCCAATCAGCTGGAATCTCTTCAGGAGGCTATTTAGTCAGCTGTAGAGGTTAATCCAGATGATAGGCTGCAGGTTCAATTCCAGAGCTGCACTTTTCGGCCAGGGTGGTTACAGGTCGCCTGTGAGGATCAGGGCAGCGCCGACTGGCAACCATGGGAGGGCGCTTCTCTGAAATGCGTCACAGGGGATCAACTTCCGATGCCACACATCTGTTTTGCTTACTTACCTAACAAAGGCAGTCAAAGACTGACCTCCGAAGAGGTCCTCACTAAATTGACGAAAACGAATCATGGTGTCAGTCAACCTTGGAGTGGTTTATTCTCAACAAGGTAAAGTCAGGTCCTGGTCAAACATTGGTTTTGGGCAGATCTTATTCCGCCCTAAAACCCGGGCACCCTCCCAGCAGGCAACTACTCAACCGAGTAACTTTAATGTACCAGTTGAAGTAAACAAAGCGGGGCCGAGTGGCAATCCACCTATGGGGGGGAGAGCAGTCAAACCTCCAACCAAACATAGGGGTAAACCAAGGCTGGGAAACCAGACGAAGACGGCTAACGCCTCGTCGAGAAAACCAGGGGAAAAAGCTGGACTTGGCTCTTCGAAAGTGAAGACGAAAATCATCTCGTCAAAGAGATCCAAAAAACCAGCAGGCAACTCTGAGACGGCAGGTGTCCTCACCCCATCATGTGAGCCAACTCATCCCTCGATCCTGGGAGAGGTGGATGGAGGTGTATCTTCTCCCTCCTAGGGTCGAGGAGTTATAAGTTTGCGGCTATACTTCGTTAACTTCAAGTGCTTGCAGGCGAACTTACAACATGCCAAGGCCGCTTCATACGTCCTCTCCAAAAATTTCAAGGACGAATCAATCGACCTTGCTCTCCTGCAGAAACCATGGACCGAAAATACAGGCCGAGTAACCGGAATGAGCAATATTCCTGGTGAGGTAATAGCGTGCCCTGGGGTGAAACCCAGAGCATGTCTGCTCATTAGGAAGGATATTAATTATTTTCTGCTTACAGGCTTCTGCATCCAAGACGTGGTAGCCACCCAAATTTTTCTACTGGGCAGGAAGGGTAGGACGAATAGAATCGCCTGCTCTGCTTATTTTCTGGAAGATTAGGATACCGTACCCCCTCTAGCTGTTAGACGACTTATCAACTACAGCAAAAGGAACAAACTTCAAATCGTAATGGGATGTGACGCCAATTCACACCATACACCGTGAGGTAGCACGAATATAAACCATAGAGGTGAGTTACTCTTTGAATATATACTAGGGGAAGGGCATTCTGTAATAAATGAGGGCTCGAAACCAACTTTTGTCACCAGCAATAGGCAAGAGGTATCAGACTTAATCATCAGCTCACATTCTCTGAATAACAAGATACACCTTTGGACTGTATCTACTGAACCTTCTTGTTCAGATATATTCTCTTCAATATTGAAACATGTGTAGGACCAGTAGTGGAATATCGTGACTCAAAGTCTACTGACTAGAGCGTTTACAGAAACTCCCTTCAATCGTACTATGAGGAAGGATTCATTACTATTCACAGTTGTGATGATATGGATTCAGTAGTGGAGCAATTTCGCGAAGCAGCGATCTCATTCTATCATGAGAAATGTCCACTGAGGATTAAAAGAGATAACCATAATTATTCTTGGTGGAACAAAAGCCTTGAAAGACTAAGAAAAGAAGTTCGACGATTATTAATCCAGCTAAAGAATCAGGTAACTACAACAAGAAAATTAGAAAGGCAAAACGGGAGTCTTGGAGGAAGATTCTCTCTAGAGATCCGACTGCTGTAATTGAGTGGATGGAACATTAAGACCTCTAGAAAAGAAACCTTAGAGCTTTTGATAGAAAACCACTTTCCTGGAAGTCAGACTCTTGACGCCAAAAAAGGGCGTCAAGAAGGTAATCACAGCACCGGCAGTTTGTTTTACAATCAGTCAGTTGTAAAACAAATTATTATTTTTATGTTATCAACAAATAATTGTCATGTATTGATTAATGTCAAAATTTACTTTCAAATTATTTTTCGTTCGATTTGCTGTAAATTTTTTATATTAATCTCATGTTGAGTAAGTTATATCTGTAACGTTTTATACATATATTTTCACAATCATCTTTTCAGTTGTCCTGAAGAAGGAAATAAACATTTCCGAAAGCTTGACAAACTAGCAATGAGTTTTCATCCTTGACCTTGACTGCAACCTCAAGATATTATCTAATTAATTGATAGATTCAGTCATTAAATACCCCTATTCAAACCAAGTATTCTCAACAATACATTAAAGTTGCGCCAAGAATATGTTATTAATTTTCGTTTTCGAAACTATGTATTTTTTATATTAGGAAAAGCCAATATGAATTATTTCTCAGGTTCACCAGTAAAAATAACAATTTGAGATTGATCGATTCCTCTAATCGAATGGAAAATTCATTAATTTACAATGCAGTTAATCTGTCTCTCGACGAGGGTTTCTCTAACCAAGTAAGCATCACCATGAAGTGACAAAAATTTCTAATAATGCTAACCTGGTTAGCGAAACATATGTTGAGAGACAGCATTTTTGTTCGGGTGAGATAAAAACATTTTAAATAGACTAATTTCACGCTGGAGGTTCAAAATTCTACTCATCATGTCATGTTTCATCACCTGTTACAATTTTATACTAGTCTTTTGAAGCACTGCCACTGTATTTTTTGAGCATTTGTTTGCATTATTCGCCACGAGCATCTTTTTGATCTTTTGTCAAATTATGTGGAATCCAACGACAGTTAAATGGTGACATATATTATGTATACTTTTGAAACTAATGCTTAAGGATGCCTTAACGGTATGTCACATGATGAATCTCACAGCGAGTCACATGATGCGCGAAAAATTTCACCAGTTAATTCCATTCTTTCTTTCAACAAAATACGAGGTTGACTTTTATGCTTTGTAGTCATTGAAAAATCAATTTATCTGTTCACAGGGCTCTCTAGATCGAGACCTGGGAAAAAACTATGCATTATATTTCACCTTTGCAATACTGATAGTCTGTTGTTCCATAACTTCATGGATGGCAGTTCGATCCTCATCAGCCATTTTATCAAATTCATCAATGCAACAAACACCCTTATCTGCCAATACTAAAGCACCACCTTCCAACATCATTTCTCCGGTTATTGGATCTTTCATCACAGAAGCTGTCAATCCAACACCGGAAGAACCACGTCCTGTAGTATACTGACCTATAAATTATTCATGTATTTGAATAATTATTTTTTATTTACTGGGATATTGGTACTGATTTCATGACATCAGTGACGTTGAATATTACTAAGTTTTATCCCAACACCAAACCGTTATTTTTAACACCTCGACACGTGTTTCAATTACCAAGTGATCATCTTCAAGAGGAAGATTAAAAATTAGTTTAATCTTCCATAATTAAAGATTAGTTTGATCTTCCTCTTGGTGATGTTCACCTGGATATCAAAACACATGTCGAGGTGTTAAAAATAACGGTTTGGTGTTGGGATGAAACTACAGTAATATTCATTACTACACCAAAGGTTCCAAACAGTACATCACAAGTATCAGCAAGGTTAACTTATAATATTAATTTCAAGTTCGGTACTCACTCCTAGGTGCTAATCTGTTGATATATCCCAATAATTGAGACTTGGCTACACCAGGATCTCCCATAAGGCAAATATTTATGTTTCCGCGAATTTTCATTCCATCGGGTCTTTTATCCACACCACCAACCAAAAGAAGCAATAGGGCCTTCTTGACATCCAAATGCCCATAAATTTCTGGAGCCAAAGACATTGCTAATTTTGTATAGAAATCATCTTCTGTTAAAGTTGCTAATTCTTCCGGAGTAAGAGGATTATTTGTTTTGTCTTCATCTGTTTTGTTCAAAGACATGATTTCCTGAAATTCCAATTTACACCATAATTTGTTCTGGATGAAAATGTTATTTCATGTTTGTCAAGGATAAAATATAAAAGTCTTACATGCGCTTCCAAATAAGTTTCTGATAGAAGACCACCTCTTAATTGATTATAACCTTGTTTTATCAAAGGCAAAAAAACACCAGTTACTGCAATATGATCACCTGGTAATGCTTTTCTTGTTACCTCTCCTCTACAAAATATTGTTAGAGTACGTGGTATATGTCCAACAGGAACTTGATCGCTCTAAAAAATTATTAGTTCAGGAAAATACCTTTCACGATTTCACTTTTTTAACAACCAAGTATCGGAAAAATCAGATTTTTTTTCTAGATTATTACTGAGTGGATCTATTTATAAATCAAGAGAACTTACGTGTTCCTGTATTTTTACTTCCTGAAATTTAACAAATTTGGATCCTCTACTTTGCAAATATAAGCGACCACCTGACTTATTTATCCTACAGTCATCACTGGGGCACATGATAATGGGCATGAAACTCAGAGAAGCAATTGGCTGGTAAGTCTCTGCCCCACACTGATCACATGTATAAGTTGCAACACTCAACATTGGCTTCACTTCAGTGCAGCGTGTAACTATTCCCCGTACTGTAACGAGTTTACCAATATTTTCAGCTTTAACTTCTCTAATTGGGACATTTTTGTTTGTACTGAGATCTCGAAAATAGATTTCACTGAAATATAATCATTACTTTAAAATTATGAATTGATGCAGTCATTGAGGATTTTCGATATTAAAATTATTAAACGCTAACAAGAAATCTTAGGAGGAGTTAGGACTGTATTTAATTTATTTATCTTAATACTAGTTACAACCAATTGAAAATTAAATTAATTGATAGTCCTATATTTTATTGACAATATCATGTGAACCATGATATATCAAGTTTTATGAATGTCTACACTTTGTCGATAAGATTATTGTATCTTCAGACAATAAAGTATATTTATTATTATTATTACATATATCTCAATATTACTTTATAATTATCGCACTCACTTCACTTGTTTACTGTCATTTATCTGAACTAATCCCTTGAAACTGAACTGATCTCTGTTCTGAATCATCCTTTCCGATCTTCGAAACTATATTATAACACAGTTGAAAGCTCGTCAAACTTTTCTTGTTTATTAGAGAATGGCATCTGTTTCCACGACGACGGCTACAGATTGAAAGTATGTTTTGTGAAGATATTTCTTTAGAAAAATGTTGAGACTATCAGAAAATTGTATGGAAATTAATCCCATAAAATGCTTGGGGTTGATAATATATTGCAATTTGGGATTCTATAGCCATATCAACTATCTGATTCCGACAGCAAATAGTGTACTAAAACATCTATACCCTCACAGACACTACCTGACTACACATTTGAAGATTGAACTATGTGATAAACTTATTTTATCAATTTTGAACTACGGTGATATTGTCTATATAGAAACTTCCAGGATCCAAAAAGTTCAGAATGCCTAAAACGAAGAGATCATGTAACAACGTTTTTAAACAATCTTGGATGGCTGAAAATATTAAATAGAAGGAAATATCACCTTGTATGCTTCGTTCATAAATTATTAAGAAACCAATGCCAGATTACCTCTACTCCAAAATTACTCCACATAACCAGTATCACTCTAGAAACCTTCGTAACATTAATATGCTTACCCTCTCACGTCACTCTATCTTTTTTCAAACGTTCTTTCTCTCATAGGGTTGTAACCGAGCACAACTCATATCCTGACGAATTGAAATTGCTATTTTTTTCTGCATTTGAAATTAAAACAAAAGCCATCCTCTTCAGTAAACAATGAATCTGCCTGAATTGAATCAAATTAAATCTAATTGAATTATCCAATTCATTTTACTTTATCATTTTTTTTTTTATGAATTACCTACATATACTTTTTTTGATGGTGTTAAAAATTAGGTCCTATTTTTTAGTTATGCTACTGTATCATTATTTATACACTCATGTATATAAATAACTTTACTTTATAACTTTACTGGCGTGAAAGTAGTTTAATTTGGAGTTTGAATTTAATAATCATTATCAAGAGTTCATCTATTAAAGAAATTTTTTTGGCATAACCATCCCATTAAAGTAGCATGGATCAAAAGCTTCAAGATTTTCATTCCAAAAAAACGCAACAGCATTTTTTCATTCTGCTAGAGATAGCTGTATGCTGAATGAACTCAGTTTGGTAATAGAAAAAAATCTAAAGTCAGTAATTATCGAAGAATTATTCAATATTCATCTGTTGAAGTAGTTTTTCTCAGTCTTTTCTCGAGACATAGAGAGTAGTCTCTATATTTCTTATCTGATCCCGTACCACAAATTTTCTTACTATCTCAGCTGGTTCAGAGCCTTATATGAAATCGATGATCTGTGTCCAGCACACTAATCAATTTTTTGTGGGCTTTCAGGTTCTTCAACATTGCGAATGCTGCCTGGCTGTCTTAAACATTTTGATTCTCTCAGTTCTTTGAGACCTTATATTAATCACGACGGCAACTCAAACTATTCATAGCATGTCTACATCATGGGGAAATCCAATTGGCGGATAGATGTTGTCTGATCGATAGGAGAGAAGTTCTATGAAACGACATTGTACTGATTCAACTTTATATACAACTGATGACATGGATTCCAGATTATGGATGCATATTCTAATTTTGATCTGACGAAAGCATAGTTTAAGGAAAAAAAGAGAAATGAAACTTTCTATGTTTTTTACCATAAAAGTGGTAAAAAACATAGAATGTTTCATTTCTCTTTTCTTCATTATGATTTCCTACCACGTAGTAACGGCTACATCCATCAATTTATTGCATAGTTTAAGGTTTTCGATGTAGATGTATCCGAGAAATCCATGGACATTCACGCAATGAATCCATACATTCTGTTTGCAGCAGACAGATTGGTTTCAATGTGTGGCACGAAGAAAAGTTTTGTGTCGAAGGTAACATGCAGATCGGTGAATGTGAGAGGCCGTTGAAATAGAATATCGTTTATTAAATATTGATATGAGAATGGCCGATTTTTTATTGTGTATGTCATTACTAATGTGAATGTAATCATTTACTTGCGTTTAAAGGAGGATTGTTGCGAAAACACCATTGCCCAACATGTTTCATATAGAGAGAGAGAGTTGAAGATAGTCCTTGATGCCATTTATGAGATTAAGAGGAACTAGATCATAGACCTATACAGGGAAGATTCTTGGAGTGACTGTCATAAAGAAAGGGAGGAAAACGCAATAAGTCCATACAGCTGTAATGTTCTCTGACTAGAAATGGACATATCATTTGACTTCTGAGCAGCAAAAAAAAATATCAAGGTAGGTGTTTGTGTACTTTATCAACACTTCTTTTGAAAAAGATGGTGAAAGACAAGATGAGAAGTAATGAAGAGATATGTTTATCCATCGAGTTACTGCAAAATGAAAATCATTAGTTGAAAGTTTTCTTGCAGGTGCACAGGTTGCAAAATCATCTATAATTTTTTTTATTTCCTCTATAGAAAGATAGATGAACTGTTTATCTGATCATTATTTATTTAATTTCTCATGTAAAAGACAATAGTGTTGATGGGTTTCAAAGTTCAAACTCATCTGCCTATTGAGTCTAATATATGTATGTTGTCACACAAATAGAAATTACAACTTATAACTCACTAAAAAAATACTTATTTTAATGAAAAACAATGTTAAACAAGGGTAAGCTTAGTTCTAGTCTGATTTACCAACCAAACGTTCAACTGTTCATATTCTTCTATGCATGCATCTACTTGATCAGGATTATAGCCTTTACTGGCACATTTCTCGAGTGCATCTGACACCAAAACAGTTTTTTTTTCTGCAGCTAACTCACTAATCAGTTCAAATATTTTGTCATTAACGTTGGGTGGCCTGGAAAATAAAATAAGTTATAAAAATTTGTTGAAATACTTTGATTTGTCAAAATAATAATTTTATTTGCTTATCTATAGTTGATAGTGAAAGGTAGAATTGAAAGATCTGGCATATAATTAGTAAAACAAAAATATTTTTCACACATCATAACACTTTTCTTGACTTGTATCGAAATACCCAAGTTGGTGTCATCAAGAGATGAAACCTGCAAAAGTTGGCATCATCAATGAAATCTGCAGACTAACTTAGCATATTCATATTAGCCAGACTTTTACAAAATAAAGTCATTAGCAGAGATTGAAAAATTACCAATTAACATTCATCATGATTTCTTTAGAAAATACCTCAATTACTTCAGCTACAATTTTTGGGGAGAATTGTTTATAAAAAAGTGCTCATGCCACACTTCATTTTTGAATAACTAGCAGTCAACTGTTATGTACCAGCCATGATAGTTTCAAATTTCTTCATTCTACAATCATTCTGCGAAGTATTTACTAGAGTTTTCTAGTTTATGAAATCAGATAAGTACCACATACTATAAAACGATTTTTTAAATCTGTCTTAGTTTGACTAACATACTTTTTGCCACCACTATCATAAGTTGTTTCATACCTCCCTAAGATTTGACACTTGTTGCTTTGAAAGCAACTGTCATGATTGAAGTGCCAAAATTTTCGTCTGCAATTGCGGAAGGCATCATCAATGGTATGTGCGTTTTTACTGCGATGACGAAATTTATATCTCGAAGTCTTAAGAAAGAACGTAATCATTCTTTACTGAGAACTTGTTAGCAGTTTTCGAGGCTGACATAACAACTCACCAATTAATTGGTTTTAGTAGGTGAATCCAATAGGGTTTTTTGGGATTTACTGAAGCGTGGCAGATCAAGGTATGGGGGATAACTTACAACCCGTGGTGTAGCTTTGTTATATCTAACCTGCGCATATATGGCAGCCGATCAAAATATTTTTAAATAATCGATGGTCTCAAATATTCGAGCTCGTCAAATTAGAGTATGATGGGTTATTTACATGCTGAAAAGTGTGCATTTAATAAATCTGACGATTTGAGTGACAAAGCCCGTGGGCTTTGGAACGGCCAGGGGACTGGAGGCCCTGTCAGGGAAACCTGTGTGGACTTACGGACGGGGTCGCCGGACTCCTGATTAGTGGCAGAAATAAGGAGCGTGAGGGGAACTAAAACCCCCCAAAATCCCTGCAAAACATGCCACCGCGGACCAGCCTACCCAAGCTAAGGTGTAAGGAATCGTGCCGACAGCTGCGGTAATATGCGGATACAAACGGTCCACTTGGGGAACCGGGCGAAACCTCATTGTAATTAGCCTTCCTCTGGTAATGCGGGGTTCTGCCAGAGGTGACCAATTCTTCCCTTGCTACTCGTGGAAACACACATGGATGCAGATAAACAAACAAATAGAAAAACAACCAATCCCGAGGCTGGACAGCAATGCTCACCTCAATTTAGGGCGGGGGCTGGGGATGAACCGAAATGTTCATCCCAATTTATCACTCAGAATGAGGCTGGACATAGCAGACCACCTCGTGACGCAACACAAAGGCCAAGGCGTAAGCGCATTTGCGGCGCCGAGGCCAAGAGGAGAAAGAGAGCGAAAGAGGCAGGAATGGCAGCAACTATGAGTGAACCCTCTTCCTTTTCCACTCCATCTCCAACAACAAGGGCATCTTTTGCGGCGGGCGCCAAGAACTCCGCCTTGAAAAAAGGCAAGGAACCTGCTGCCACCGCAGGAAAGCGCCCTCACGTGAGTACCTCCACCGAGGGAACCCCAAGAAGGTTGAAGAAGCTGCGCAGCGATAGTAATGTCGCTGCACCTGCCAAAACTTTCGTGGAGGCCGCCATGAGACACCTCAAGGTCGCCATCATAGATGAGACTAACCCGTACGGTAAGGTTACCGCAGAACGAGAGAGTCTCATCAAAAAAAAACTGTTGGAGGAGCTGGACAAGATCATCTTCTCCGCCTCCAGCAACATCAGCAAACTGCCCACGTTGAAGTCGTGGACATACTCCGGTGAAATCATCAGAGTGGTCTGCGATGACGACGTGACGCTAAGTGGCTGAAGAAAGCCACAATGAATATTAAGCCGTGGGAGGAGGCATCACTTGCGGTCGTCAGTGT